TTTGCTTCATCTGCGCCCGGACCTGAAGGTTTGGCCTAAAAGCAGTTACCCCCCCCCCTACTTCACTGTTGTTGTTGGCGTCATTAGTATTAATATCATTTTCATTATTATTGTTGCTGTTATTATTATCATTGTTGTTGTTATTATTGTTATTATTATTATTATTATTATTATTATTGTTATTATTACCTCCGCCAAGGAGGTTATGTTTTTGACATTGGTTTGTTGGTTAGTTTGTTTGTTAGCAGCCTAGCTCAAAAAGTGCTGGCCGGATTTCATCGAATTTTGGGGGACAAGTCAGAAAGGGACTAACTTAGAACCGATTATATTTTGGTGACATTCCGAATTACCGTCTGGTTAATATTATTATTATCATTAATTAATAAATAACGTGCACAAATCTACGGTAGACGTGTGCCACATTTCACTGACATTCTGAATTACCGTCTGGACGCAGCAGCGGTGTAAGTACATTATATACGCACCTTGGCGGAGGTCTGCACTCTCTGAGTGCTTTTCTAGTTATCATTATTACTGTCGTTATTATTGATATTATTATTATTATTACCACTGATACTATTATTATCAATCATTACAGTTATTTTTGTTATTATTATTATTATTATCATTATTATTATTATTACTGTTATCATTATCATTATAAATATTATCATTATTATTATTATTATTATTATTATTATTACCTCCGCCAAGGAGGTTATGTTTTTGACATTGGTTTGTTGGTTAGTTTGTTTGTTAGCAGCCTAGCTCAAAAAGTGCTGGCCGGATTTCATCGAATTTTGGGGGACAAGTCAGAAAGGGACTAACTTAGAACTGATTAAATTTTGGTGACATTCCGAATTACCGTCAGGTTATTATTATTATTATCATTAATTAATCAACAAAGTACACAAATCTACGGTAAACGTGTACCACATTTCACTGACATTCCGAATTACCGTCTGGACGCAGCAGCGGTGTAAGTACATTATATGCGCACCTTGGCGGAGGTCTGCACTCTCTGAGTGCTTTTCTAGTTGATATTATTATTATTATTACCATTGATATTACTATTATCAATCATTACAATTATTATTGTTATCATTGTTATTATTATTAATATTATTATTATTACTATTATTATTATCATTATTATTATTATTATCATCAGCATCATTATCGTACTACTATTTCTATTATAATTATCAATATTATATCATCATCATCCTTAATATTATTACTATTATAATCATTATTATTAATGTTATTATCATTATCATTGTTTCTGTTATCATTATTATACTATTACTACTATTATTATTTTCATTATCATTATTATTATTATTATTAATGATAATAATAATTATTATCATTATTATTATTATTATAATTATACTATTGTTGTTGATGTCATCATCATTGTTATTGTTATCATTGCTATCATTATAATTAGTATCCTCTTCCTATTATCATTATTACTCTCATCATTATAATTATCATTATCATTATTATCATTATTGTTATCATTATTATTATTATCATTATTATTATTTTAATAATAATAATAATAATAATTATTATTATTATTATTATTATCATTATTATTATTATTATTATTATAATAATAATAATTATTATTATTATCATTATTATTATTATTATTATTATAATAATAATAATAATTATTATTATCATTATTATTGTAAGGCTATCATTATCATCATTATTATTATCATCAAGATCATTATTATTATTATTATTATTATCATTATTATTATCAAGATCATTATTATTATCATTATCATCATTATCATTATTTTTTATAATGTCATGGTAATCATTATTTATATTATAACAATCATTATCAGTAACATTAATTATTATTACTATCAGTATTACTATCATTATGATAATCATTATTATTTTATTTTCATTATCATTATCATTGTCATTATTATCATTATTAATAATAATGATAATAATATTATTATTATTATTATTATTATTATTATTATCATTATTATTGTTATTATTATTATTATTATTATTATTATTATTATTATTATTGTTTTATTATTATCATTATTATTATTACCATTATTATTATTATTATCATTATCATTATCATTATCATTATTATCATCATCATCGTCATTATTATTATTACTATCATTATTATTATTATTATTATTATTATTATCATTATTATTATTATTATCAATATTATTATTATTATTATTATTTTTATTATCATTATCACTATCATCATTACTGTCATCCCTATTTCATTGTCATCATTATCATTTTCAATATCACCATATTATTAGGAGCAATAGTATTGTTTTTGAAGCCATCATTATTGTGAGTATCGACATTACTATTGTTACCATTACTACTGCTATTACTATTGTTCATGTTGCCAAAACACACTCTTGCGAAAAATAGAGAAGAGGAAAAAGGAAAACGAGGCGCAGCTAAAGCCACGGCCACACGGAGGCACTCAAGCCTCCACCCAAACGCCCTTGCGCTCGCTCGCGGCCACCCACCTGACGAGGTCCGGCGGGCGCAGCGGCCCGGCGATGGAGGACGACCTCTGGCGGGGCAGGCGCAGGTGGAGGTCGGCGGGCGGGTCGTGCGTGGAGGGCACCGTCAGCAGCGACGACCTCCGCCGGAGGCCCCTCTGGTCCGCCCACACGTCGTAGCGGAAGTGGCGGCCGCCCACGCTGCGCGGGGACACGGGCGAGGGCGTGGAGCGCGCGTTGGGCGAGGGCGGCTCGCGGCACAGGGGGGAGGTGGGCGTGCGGCTCATGGGCGACGTGGGCGTCCTGGAGAGCGGAGGGGGCGTCCGGGGCAGCGGGGAGGTGGGCGTGCGGCGGAGGGGCGAGGCGGGCGGCTGGCGCCCCTGCGAGTAGCGCTGGCGGGAGTGCGAGCGCGGGCGCGGCGGCAGAGTGGGGCTCGGCGAGGGCGCGGCCGCCGGGGCGCCGCCGCGGCACAGCTCGAGCTCGTCGTCGGGCGTCACCGTCAGGCGCAGCGTGACGACGCTGTGGCGCCGAGGCCGACACGAGGCCATCATGGAGCCGGGGTCTGCCGGAGGGGCGGAGGGGCTTCGGCCGGGGGCGGGAGGGGAGGACGGAGGGGCAGACGGAGACGCTGAACTCGAGGGAGGCTGAAGGGAAGGGGCAAAGGGTCCTCAGCAGGGCACGCGGCCGCAGGAAGTCTTTGGGCGAGGGCGTCCTTCTGCAGAAGCGACGCTGGAGGCGCCAGGAGGTCCTTCGGCAGCCATCACTCCCGAAGTCTGCAAATGAAACAAGATGGGCTCAGGATTCGCTCCGTATCCTGCCACTAAAACATAAGATAAAAAACAAGTGATAATAATGATAAAAAAATATCTATCCGTCTGTCCGTCTCTCTGCTCCCTTTCCCATTCCCGTTTATCATTCTGCTTTTTCCCATGCCCCTTCTCCCTCCCACCCCTTCCCATCTTGCCTGCGCCGGATCGCCTCGTCCGCCCATTAACACCCCATCCATTAGCTGAGCTTGAGCTCGAGTGAAGCCACTCCAGGTCGCGTCACCTTGAATTTTCCCCTTTAACATCACCTGGAATTATTCCGAGTGGCGTTACCTGGAACTGTTCCGCGTGGCATCAGGTGGAATTACCCCATGTAACGTCGCATGAAATTGTAACATTGGAATCACCTTGAACTGTCCCATGTGGCATTACCTGTGACATCACCTGACATTGTAACGTATGGCACCCCTTGAAAATGTCCAGTGTGACATCAGCTGGAACTGTATTGCATGGTGTCCCCAGGGGCGGTATCCTCCAAAGGCTCCGGGATTTATTACAAAAAAACTTTTCGACTGCAATTTTGTCTATGACTTCTATAGGATGTCTTGAACAGCCGATTTTTTCTATGACGCGTAAGGACTGTCATTAAAAAGGATACGATTCTACATTTGTTGAGGTTAACTGGTGCGCTCGCCTTCACAACAGACGAAACAACATAGATAATGTTCTGCATGTAAATGTAAAAGATCCTAATTGAACACTGTAGTCATAATATAGTTGAGATCCACTGCAATAGATATTTCATTATATTACTATGTTGCATTTTCACCACAGGGTCTTTTAAATTGTAAAAAATTGTTTTAGATTAGTGTTAACTTTGATATGTGGCAGAGTGCGAGTTAGAGACGAAATAACTTCTGATAATTAGTCAAAGACAAATTCTATGACATTCTTGGAGTCAAAATTCTCCGAGGAAAATTCTATGACTCTGCGTAAATACCGCCCCAATTCCATGTCTCCCTGACGCCTAAGTCCCTAAATTGGATACCTGTTACGAGTACAACCGATCATTAGTGAACAGCAATTGCCCCCTTTGATATGGTGAAACTTGCGGATAAACTTAATGAGTATGGACTTTACCGGCAGTATCAAAGACGTCGGTCTGTGCTCCGTGCGACTCTCATTTTCTCTCCTCGTACCCTCGGGAATATTGCATCGCGCAAAGCTTTCGAACTTGACTTTGGGACCGAAAAAGAGAGAGCTGGTGTAGCATGTCTGTAACAATATGTGAGTCGGGTATAGGATTCTGGGATCCGTCGTCTCCGTCACGTTTTGTAAGAATGTTTTATTATTATCATAATAACAACAATAATGATAATAATAATAATGATAATATTTATTATTATTATCAGTAGAAGTAGTAATAGTAGTAATATGTTTACTTTTTTACTCCCGATGCACAGCCGGATCAGTATTTTGTAAGATTCTGGGCTACAGGTACTGCGAGGCCCCCAATAAAAGAAAAACAGGGGAGAAAGAAAGAGAGAGAGAGAGAGAGAGAGAGAGAGAGAGAGAGTGCTAAAGATTCTTTTCCTTGCTTCTACCAACAGTCGGAATTCAAACATTTGCTTTGCCTAATCCATGGAAACAATGGCATAACTTTTACTTTTGCACTAAAATACCCGGAGGCCCTGGAGCAGGCGGAGGATCCCGAGGCTGCAGTCCTTAAAGGCGCCTCAGAATCTCCTTCGTCAGCCAGAGTGAAAACCAGACCACTGCCGTTTCAATGAACCATTCGTCGTCTCGCTCTACTGGAACGCAACAATTAATCTTAAACCTGTTCAGAAGAACAAAGAAAAGGATGGGACATAATTTGGCGCCATTCTTGAAATAATGAATATTTTATTTATTTTTAACGTAACTGACAACCAAGTCGCTCTTGCTACATGGCCAATTTCGCGCGCTGAATGGGACCCTCGCTAATTCCTGCTCGTCAAGCCAGTCTCATCACCCGGCGCCTCAGCCCTTACTCCATATCTTTGCTATCAGTTGATGCGCTGTCTTCTTTGTCGCAGTCTCTGCCTTTAATCTCAGTCTGCTTTGATGTCTCCATTCCTGGCTGCTCTTATTTACACTCTCTCCACGTTACGTATTTCATTCACATCACAGCATGCGCTTTCCACTGACATCACATCACATATCTTTCAGTGCTGAAACATATATTTTCACTCACATGTTACGCCTACTTTCACTTCTATCACAACACAAATCTTCACTCATATCACGCCACATACTCTTTTCACTCACAATACATCACATATCACCACTCACATAAATTATTTTCACCCACATATATTAGCTCCGAACCACACTCGCAGACTGCACTGTTCCAGGCGCGTGACAAAGCACTGAATACCAAAGACGGTGACGATAATAAATACGGGAAAAGATAGATAAAATACTTCATTATACATTTTTTTTCTTCAATTCTCCATTTTTTATCATATTAATTCATTCAACTGTTTTCATTTATTTATTAATCTATCTATCTTTATTCATTTATTCGCTTATTTATATATCTATCTATCCATATATTTGTTTATTTATCCGTTTATTAATCTATTCATTTAGTTACATATTTAGTCTACTCTTTAGTCATCTGTTGCAGTTACTTTTACGTATTTATTTATCTGTTTCTGATTAATGTTCCTTCCTGAAAGCCACAGCTAACGGGTGGCTGGATTCAGGTCATTAGTGATAAAGTTGAGAGTTTCTCAGCAGAGTGCCTTTTGTATGGAAGAATGTTCTTATCGGTATTAAAGTATGGTTATGAAAACAAACGCAATTTATCCTACAACGTATACCGCTGTCATTTCCTGTTTTCTTAACAGAAGGAAACTATATTGGTCGTATTAATTTAATGTTACAGCACATGCTGTTATAATTTCTTCCTTTCTCACAGAGTCATATCATAATCTTATTACGGAGAAAGAAGCTCATCAACTTACTCTTCAACAAAGTATACATGTATATTTGCTTCAGGATATTTAGAACCAGGGAAATATAGATAGATTCATTTCTCTCTCTCTCTCTCTCTCTCTCTCTCTCTCTCTCTCTCTCTCTCTCTCTCTCTCTCTCTCTCTCTCTCTCTCTCTCTCTCTCTCTCTCTCTCTCTCTCGCTCTCTCTCTCTCTCTCTCTCTTTTATTCATGTAATGAAAACACGTTTTAAGGGGACAGAAAGCGAATGCATTAACCTTTACCCGCGCGCTGTGGCCTTCCCTGGTGGGCTGAGGGCAGAGAGAGCGCGGGGACACAAACTTTTAAACTTAGATCGAGCGCGAAGCAATTATTTATTAATATCAATCTGCCTCTTACCGTATGTTTATCACCAACAGCCCGTCAGTTATCATGTAATTATCATCACCGACTTGTCAAACCAGTCATAACCCGTTGACAAGAGTATCTCGGCCTCTCTAATAGCAACAGTAAACGAATAATTATGGATAATGAACTGGGTAAATAAAATGAGATCAATGAAACCACATTTAGAGACAATGAAAATAGATATGAATATAAGTTAGATAAATGAAATGAAATAAGAATGATAATAAGAGTTAATGAAAATAGATAAAGGAATAATTACAAAATAATGTTCAAAGAAAACACGGCATCAGAACCGCCAATTTCACAGCATGATCGGGAGGCAGTTGGACAGTTTGGCAGAAGCTGGGACTTTTCCACTTGTGAAAAAAAACAAAAAAATGCTAGCCTGAAGAGCATTCGGAAGGCGGAGAATGTTTCAAATAATTTTTTAAGTTTAGATTGTAATTTCTTTGTCACAAGCACCGATTGCGTTGGTTCAATTTTTGTTTACTTTACCTTCATCAATTATTCTTATCATGTTGCCTGTCCATCCTTACACAGAAATTCATACCATGCCCATTCTTCTCACACTTTCCCTTAACAAAGCCACCTACAGCAAGCTAAACATCTTTCATTTTTATTGCTTCTGTCAACAATTCCTTCCTCAATGTTTACTCTTGCCAGCTGAAGCACCTTGGCCTATTTCTATTCACCTGTATATATACGTTTCATGATATCCACATAACTGTGTCGCGTATTGTCTTATCTTTGTATCCCATTAATGTCATTTCTGTGTATGCCTTTGGTTATATGCTCTGATTCTTTCTCTGTATTTCTATGCTTAAGTAGTCTTTCTTATATATATCCCAGCGATTACTTATAGTTTGTTCTCCATGTTCGCATGGTTATATATGGTCTCTATATTACGGTGATTGTATACCGACTCCCTCCATACATTAGTATGATTATACGCTCGCTTTCCATATATTACTGTGATCACCATGAGGTCGTCGGGAAGAAGTCACACAGGCGCTCGGATGTTATCGCCAGGTGAGCATTGCGCCTTTTCAGAGCCTGCAGCGCACACTCAGCTCGGCGTCGTTTTAAACAGAGTTGACTAGTTCAATAAACCGCAGAAATGTCCCAGTTTCTCTCTAGATATCTCTCTTTCTCTCCCTCCCCCTCCCCTCCCCTCCTCTCTCTCTCTCGCTGTGTATGCTCCTCTCTCTCTCTCTCTCTCTCTTCTCTCTCTCTCTCCTCTCTCTCTCTTCCCCTCTTTCTCTCTTCTATCTCTCCTCTCTCTCTCTTTCTCCTCTTCTCTCTTCTCTCTCCTCTCTCTCCCTCTTTCTCTCTCTCTCCCTCCCTCTCTCTCTCTCTCTCTCTCTCTCTCTCTCTCTCTCTCTCTCTCTCTCTCTCTCTC